TGTGGTCGTAAGCATGATTCTACATCATCAAATATCCACCCCGTTATTAAAACTGTCAAATAGTTCATCATACGGAGACACTGTAATTTAGAGCTTCCCACTGCTAGGTAGTTAGTGCTACTTTAAATAGCACCAATAAAAAGTGCTAAGGTCACCCTTACAAATTAGTGGCTGCATCTTTCAGTCCTTCTCTGGGGAGAGTCGCCAGCTGAAGAATTGTTTACTGTTTCAATCAGTCTGAACATGCTGGAGGCTCCTGAGGGGTCACCGAAGGTGCATCTGAAGCCACCTGCCACTCTTTCCTTCCGGAGAGAGGCCTCAGCCGCACACTCTCCCCATCGTCACTTCACTGCTGTTTCGAATCCTGCCTGCCTACCTCTTAGTTTTTAAACCGTCACTTTCCACACATAGCCTAGGGCTAAAATTGATCTTTTATTAAAAAGGCAGTGTAGGGAGGGGAGAAAGAAAGAGAGGGGGTGGAGAGAGAGAGAGGGAGAGAGAAGAGGAGAAGAGAGGGATGAGAGAGGAAAGAGTGGAGAGAGAGAGAGGGAGAGGAGAGGAGAGGAGAGGAGAGTGGAGGGGAGGAGGGGAGGGGAGGGGAGGAGAGTAGAGGGGAGGGAAGGGAAGGAGAGGGGAGGGGAGGGGAGAGAGGAGAGGAGAGGAGAGGAGAGGAGAGGAGAGGAGAGGAGAGGAGAGGAGGGGAGGGGAGGGGAGGGGAGGAAAGAGAGGAGAGAGAGAGAGGGAGGGAGAGAGAGAAAAGGAGAGGAGAGGCGAGAGAGGAAAGAGAAAGGAGTGATAGGGACGAGGGAGGAAAGAGAGAGAGGAAGAGAGGAGAGAGGAGAGAGAAGGGAGAGAGAGATGAGAAGATGAGAGAGGAAAGAGCGGAGAGAGCGAGTGAGCGAGCGAGTGCTCAGGGAGCCCATGCTTTGTAGGTAGGAGGTGGGGGTCTGATCCCAGCTGCACATGTCCCCTCCCCCAGGGGCAGCCCCAAGCACCCAGCCAAGCTCTAGCCTGGGAGCGGGAGAGAGCACAGTAGGTGGGACGCCAGCCTTGCACATGTCCGCTTCAGTCCCGGGCACCCCAGATGGTCCCCGGAGCCCACCAGGAATCATCCCTGAGTGCAGAGCCAGGAGGAAGCCCTAAGCACAACCAATAAAATAAAATAAAATAAAAGTTTTGAAAAAGTCGAGTGTGGCAACAAAATAAGACGAAACAAACAAACAAGCTCCCAGAAGTAGCACTGGAGTGGAAGGAAGAGGGAGTCCAGGTTCCTGTGAAGTTTGTTTACGTCCCGAACATCTCTGCGCATTTATGGGCATGACACCCACTGCAATGTCTCCAGTTCCAGCCTCCAGCCTTTTTTTGCGGGTGGGCTGGGGTGGGGAACACCTGGAGGTGCTCAGAGCTTACTCCGGGCTCAGTGCTCAGAGATTGCTGGGGATTGAACCCGGCTTGGCCACATGCAAGGCAAGCGCCCTACCCACTGTACTCTCTCCAGCCCGGCCTTGTTAAGGGCACACATAGCTGGTCTGCTATAGGCCACAAAGGACGCAGGACTGACCCAAGTCGGGCCCTTACTTTACTTACTTGTTTTACTATCTCTCACCTGCCTCAAATGGCCTAGGAAGTTTTTATTTGAGATTATAAAACATATTTTATATCTTACAGTTCATTGTTAGAGACACACTCCCAACTTACCAGTATTTTTACATTATTTATGGAATTAATAACTTTTTTTTTCTTTTTGGGTCACACCCGGCAATGCACAGGGGATACTCCTAGCTCCGCACTCAGGAATGACTCTTGGTGGTGCTTGGGGGATCATATGGGATGCTGGGAATCGAACCTGGGTTGGCCGCATGCAAGGCAAACGCCCTACCCGTTGTGCTATCGCTCCAGCCCTGGAATTAATAACTTTCAAACTAACGTCACATCATTACTTCATAATCTAAGTGTTAGATGTGCATTATTATTATTTTTACACACACACACACACACACACACACACATATATATATATGATTTTTGGATCATATCCAGTGATGTCCAGGGGTTATTCTTGGCTTGACACTCAGGACTTATCCATGGCAGTGCTTGGGAGATCATATGGGATGCTGGGGATTGAACCCAGGTCAGCTGTGTGCAAGGCCAACACCCCCCCCCCATGGTACTGTCACTCTGGCCCCTCTTACCAATATTTTAAAGTCTGAATAGGATAACAAATATTGAACTCTAGGGACCAGAGATGGTATGCAGCGGTGTCCCCATGTCTCCAGCAGGCAGCCGGCTTTGCTCCTTCCCAGCACTGCACTGGCCCTTCTGAGCATCACAGGAGTGACCCCTGAGCACAGAGCACAGACTTCTGGGGCATAGCATGAGCCCCTGGCACCACGAGGGAATTACTCTTGGCGGTGCTCAGGGGACCATATGGGATGCTGGGAATCGAACCCGAGTCGGCCGCGTGCAAGGCAAACGCCCTACCCACTGTGGTATTGCTCCAGCCCCAATCCTTCGATTTTTTTTTTCTTGGAAATAAAAATTGAACTCGAAGACCAGGGACATCATAGCTTAATGACAGAACATTTGCCTTGCATGTGTGAGGTCCTGGTCTCAATCCTTGACACTGCAATATTTTTTTTTGGGAGGGGTCCCACCTGGCGATGCACAGGGGTTACTCCTGGCTCTGCATTCAGGAATTACCCCTGGCGGTGCTCAGGGGACCGTATGGGTTGCTGGGAATTGAACCTGGGTCGGCCACGTGCAAGGCAAACGCCCTACCCGCTGTGCTATTGCTCCAATCCCGGCACTGCAATATTATTAACAAACTGGACTCTTAAGTCCAGGAAATTCTGCTATACTGGACACATCTTAGGCTCAGGCTCCTGACCTGGTTCCAATCTGAGTGTTATTCTGGCAAACGTGAGGCCAGTGGCTAGGAAGGGGTCCAGTAGCTTGTGAAGGCTGGGTGGGCCCGAGAAGGGGGAAGCCACGCTCTCTCTGGGATACAAGTCTATCAGCCCACCGCAAAGCATAGGCAGCTCGGAATCAGGTGTGTGTGTGTGTGTGTGTGTGTGTGTGTGTGTGTTTCTCCTGAAAACTAGCTTTTGGCTCTTAGGGAAAATTCTACAGAAATTAATGTCCTCCAACAAAAAATTTCAAATTATACGCACAGTTAAACTGAAACACAGATCCTTTCCTGCTACTTATTATCTGATGTGCTCACAGGAGAGTAAAAGTCATTTGAAGCTGTCCTTCCTTCCTAGACTGGGAGGTGGAGTGTGCAGGCCCACGAGCAACCCAGGGTTTTTTTTTCGGAACACAGAGGTGGACCTAACATTCAGCTCTGCACCACCCCCCACCCCCCATCTGCTGCCCCCAGCGCCCGGTCCTGGACTTGTTTGCATGTGGATTGCTCTCAGGACGTTCCTGGATTGTTATGAGAACGGAGCGACCTCCTTCGGATTACAGTGCCCGGGGTTTAAGAGTCCTGGGCAATCGGGCGAGAGTGTGGGAAAACACTACAGAAGTTTGGAGGTTCAGGGTACAGGAATGGAAGCACCAGCCCCGAGGAGGTGCCTCGGTAACACTCTGGCGTTCCTTCGGCTTGGGATGATGTCCCCCTGTGCCCCGTGCCATGGTCTCCACGCCCAGCGCCCCGCTGCCACCCTTGTCAGTTTCAGGAGCCAGGGAAAAAACCCTCCAGCCCAAGGGCGCGGGTAGGGCCAGAGCTCAGGAAAAGTCTGAGAAGTGAAGGGAAGGCGCAGACCGAGGGGGCCGAGGGGCCAGCAGGCTTGAGAAGGGGTGGGGGTGGAGGAGGGGGCTGGGGGAGGCGAAACGGGGGAACAGCGGAACGGGAAGCTCAGAATAGAAGAGATCAAAGAAAGTGCCAACTAGTGAGAACGCGGAGAAAGGGTGGGTGGAGGGGGCCGGCGACGGGCCCGGCTTAGAAAAATAGCAATTAGTACAGCTAAAAATAAAGCCCAATTTAGAGACAAAGCCAGATACACAAGGAGAAAAAATAAGGCTCGCCACAAAGAATCCCTCGCGACCCAAAACGCTCAGGAGAAGGAGGCTGCCGAACACCCACCCACACCCGTGCCAGGGCCGCTTTGCAGAAGAGAAGCGAGTCGGGGGCCCGCGAGGCTGCGGGCAGGTGACGGGCGGCCGCGGCGGGGCCGGGCGCAGCGCGCGCCGTCGGCGCAGGGCGAGGAGGCCCCGCCGGGAGGCGCGCCACGTGTCCCTAAAGTTAGAGACGGGGACCCCCCCACCCCCAGTAGCTGCTGCAGGTGTGCGGACCCCCTGAGGCCCCGGTGCTGAGAGCGCCGGGTTCCAGCGCGCGCCTCGCCAGAGGGCGCCCACCCGCTCCGACTCGGCGGGCTCCGAGCGCCGCCAGCGCGGCGGGGTGCGGCGGCGACGCCCCGGCCGGGGCGGACCGGCCCTGCGCCCCCATCCCGGGCGCGGGGAGGCGGGGGAGCCCGGGGACGGGGGTGCTGCTGCACCCCGCGGGTCTCTACACCGAGTGGTGATCCCCCTGCCAGCCCCCCCGCCGAGGCCGGGGATGCCCACGGCGCCGTGTCCAGCTCCCCGGGGCCGCGGGCTGCAAACGGGACACCGGTGTGTGTGTGTGTGTGTGTGTGTGTGTGTGTGTGTCTGTGTGTCTGTGTGTGTGTCTGTGTGTGTGCGTGTCTGTGTGTGTGTGTCTGTGTGTGTCTTTGTGTGTGTGTCTGTATGTGTGGATGGAGTTGGGGGGCGCACAAGCCCCCGGGAGGCTGCGTGGGGAAGCCCCGCTGGGTCCCCCAGGACTCTCCGAGCGCCCGGGGGAGGTGCCGAAGGCCCAGGCGGCGCTGGGGGCGTCCCCCCCCCACCCCTTCCCGGGCGCGGGTCCGCCCTCCCGGGGGCGGCGTTGGCGGGGTCCGCCCCGGGCCCCCCGCGCGCGCGGGCAGGCAGGCGCCCCGAACGCGCCACGCGGCGCGGGGCCGGAGGGGGCGGCGCGCGGGGCCGGGCGCGGCGGGGCGGCGCCGAGCCGGCTCCTCCCCCGGCGGCCGCAGCCTCCTCGCCTTCCTCCAGCTCCGGCGCGGCTGCTCCTCCTTCCTCCCCGGGCGTCCGCGGCGATGTTCAACCGCGCCGTGAGCCGGCTGAGCAGGAAGCGGCCGCCGTCAGGTAAGCGGCCCCGCGGCCGCGCGGGCCGGGGGTCGGGGCGCCCCGAGGGGCCGCCTGGAGCCGCGCGGGCCCGACCCGCTGCCCCGTCCAGGGCATCCTGCCCTCCCGCCCGCTCTCGGGCGCGGCTCCGCGCGGCCGCCCCGACGGGAGCCCCCCTACCCCACCCCAGCCGGCCGCTCCCACCCGCGCGCGCGCCCCTGCGCTCCCCCAACCGGGGCCACGGCGCTGAAGCCTTCCCCCGGGGAAGGAAGTTTGGAGGAAAAGGGGGAAACCGCGGCGGTTGTCTTTGCAGTGATGGTCTGGGAGAGACCCAAACTTTGGAGATGGCGTGGGCTGGACGCTCTGAAAGCAGAAAGCGCGCCTGCCCGCCCCACCCCAACGCCAGTTCCCGGGGGCTGCGGGCGCCCAGCTGCGCGCGCGCCTCCGACGGGGCGGCTGGGCACCGCCAGGCCGGACTTGGGGCCGGTGAAGACGCGTGGAGACGCGTGGCACCCCGAAGTCCGGGCTGCCTTGACAAGAGGTTCAGCTCGGCTGCTTCTGTGGACCCACCTGCAGCCACGGAGCGGGACCGTGGGAGGGGCCCGCGCACCCGCGGTCGGAGGGTACCAGCTCCCGACGCGGACCCTCTGACTACCTTTTGCTCCGCGTGGTGGGACAGCTGCGTCCCTCTGAGCAAAAACTTGTGCACGGGGGACTTGGGGTTCGGTGAATCCTTCACCCCACGGCGCTGCGCCTGCACAGCAGGGGAAGAAGCCGCACGCTTCAAGGCAGCTGGTCCCAGCCGCAGCCCAGCCGGAGAATCCCCCGGGTTTCGGAGGCGTGGGCTCCCCGCTGCCGCCAGAGTCTGTGCACCGCTGGTCCCAGTCTTGCCCACCTCCGATCTCATTTTTATATGGTGAAGAGCGTGGATGCAATTCAGGGGGGCGGGCTGCGTGGGGAAGCCCACGGTGGAGCGTCTCTGTGAGTTGTTGGGGGCGGCAGCCGCAACAGGAAAGGTAAGGACTGGCTCTTTGCTCCGTGGTGGTGGACGCTGGTTTCCCATCTGTCAAATTGCAGCAAATCACTTCAGGTCCCCTGAGCCCCAGTGAGGGAAGAGCTCAGCCCCCCACCGCGGAAGGACTCCCCGGGGTCATTAGAAAGAGCTGCCGGAGATGGTGGTCACGGCCACTCACAGACCTTCCCAGAGTGCTGGCCACTCAGGTTCACTTTTCCCTCTTGTTGGCTAGTCCCAGCACTGCCGAATCCCCATAGGAGCCTCGGACAGGGCCAAGCTACTGGGTCCCATCCAAGCGCTATCACTCAGTGACCTTGGCCGAGCTGACTTGACCTCCGAGGCAATTGCTAAATGATTAGGAAATTTGGGAACTAGTTACCGAACCATACAGACCTTGAAAGTGATCATGGCGGGGTAGACACAATGGAGGCTGGCAGGTGTTATAATCAGTGTTTCTGGGTAAACCGGAGCCCGGCTCTGCGTTGTGTCTGTTTTCCCACGAGTAAAATGGATTTCATGGGCTTGTGGATTAAATGCACTTAAGTTTAATGAAGTCCCAAGTATAGCACCTGATGCATAATGGCTAATAGCTGCGAGCTCTGGTTTGTTAGGAGTTGCCATGAGCAGACTTAGCTAGTTTGGAGGCTTGAAGTCTTTCGTAGAGAACAAGTGGGCTTGAGGGCAACTCTTGCTTTTGGGGTGCTGTTCGGGTTTGGTTTGGGTCTTGCCCTCCAAACACCAACTTGCTTAGTGATTGGTCGAAATCACTAAGGTCGAAAGTCGACCCCCTAATGGACAAATGTCCCTGGAGGAAGGACACATGAGCAGCATCGGGGACAGGAGGAAACAAAGGGGTGTGGGCCTGAAGGCCACGGGGTCCAGCCTAGTGACCACAAGACTCTGTACTGAATTTCTTTTCTTCTTCGGCATTTTAAAAATTTTGTCTTGGGGCCACCTCTGGAGGTTCTCAGGGCTCACTCTGGACTCTGCATTCAGGGATCATCCTGATGAGCCCAGCTGGGGTGCAGAAGATGGAACTCTGGTCAGCTGCCTGCAAACCAAATTCCCCACCTGCTGTCCTGCCTCTCGGCCCCGGGATTCTTTTTCTTAGAGGCTCTCCAGATTGCAGAAGGCCAGGCCCGACAGAAGCTGGGTCTGTGCAGTAGGAACCTGGTGAGAGCTGACCGGATGCTCCTGCCTCCCAGAAGCGTCTGCTTGAACCGGTCTCTGGTTTTCAGCACAAGATTATCGGAAAGCTGAGGGCTTGGGTACTTGCCTGAGTCCCGTGGTTCGCAGTGAGCCGCCTTTATTCTCCTTCTGGAGGTTTCTCAGAGTTCAGGAACCATTGAAATGGGGTGAGGATGGTTGAAGCGGCTTCATCAGATGCAGCTTTCCAGAGATGCCCACCCCACTCCTGGCACGCCTGCCAGTTCAGCCTTGGGGACCAAGGTGGGAGGACGAGGATGGTGGTTTGTTTTTGGTTTTGATTTGGGGCATCCAGTAGCGGTGCTCAAGGGCTTCCTCTTGGCTCTCTGCTCAGGAGTCATTATCCTTGAGGCTCTGGGACTATATGGGTGCCTGGGATTGAACCTAGGATGGCCGTGTGCAAGGCAAGTGCCCTTCCCGCTGTGCTCTCTCTCTGGCCCCCGAGGATGGTGCCTTTCCAAGCATCTGATTATGATTCTTACTCCTTGAAGTGTGTAGGGCCCAAGAAGGCGCCGTCTCACCCCTGCCTGCACTGTTGATGGCAGCTGCTGCTAGAGGCCTAAAGCCACAGCCTGTACCGTGTCAACCCTCTGTGCCCAGCAGTCACCACCTGCTGGAAAGCAGCGACCTCCAGAAGGGTCTTGTGTGTTGGAACAGTGCTCCACAAGGAGTGATGTCTTTCAGCTGGAGCAGCAGTACAGTGGTTAGGGCACTTGCCTTGCATGCGGCTGTGTCTGCGATAGTCGTCCAGATCTGGGTTGCCCGAGCACTTCCAGGAGTGGCCTCTGAGCACAGAGTCAAGAGTCCCCCGCTGAGCACAGAGTCAGGAGTCCCCCCCCGCTGAGCACAGAGTCAGGAGTCCTCCCGCTGAGCAAAGAGTCAGGAGTCCTTCACTGAGCACAGAGTCAGGAGTCCCCCCACTGAGCACAGAGTCAGTAGTCCCCTGCTGAGCACAGAGTCAGGAGTCCTCCGCTGAGCACACAGTCAGGAGTCCTCCCTGAGCTCCACCATTCTTGCATTGGGGAACTGAGAGACGATCAGAAGGTGCTGCTGGGTTGTTGTCGTTGGATGGAGGAAGGAGGAAGGGGGGAAGGGGAGAGACACACGCAGACAGGGGCGTGGAGATGGGGGTCCTGCCGGCTTCTCAGGACCTGGGTGGGAGGCCTGGGGTTGACCTGCTCCGGAGCAGTCCCTGCCCTTTGGCACCCTCCAGTCGTCCCGGGAGAGATGCAGTGGGCAGGGCTGCAGGGCTGGAACCAGGAGGCCCTGGGGCCAGGCTGAGGGGCATGGGGACGGGGGGCGGGGAGGCATGCCCAGCACTGAAGGTAGGGGGGCAGCCGGGGCATTGGGGCTGGAGGGATGGAGCCCCAGGAGGGGCCCTGAGCACCCCACTGAGGCCTTGAGAGGAGAACTTGTGTGTGTGGAGGGAAATGGGTCCCCGGAAGTCTGTGGGGCTGTTTCGCTCCAGGAGAACCCCTGAAAGGCTTATCAGGCAGCACGGCTGTCACGGCTCCGAGGGCGGCGCGGGGGGGCCGCCAGCCCCGGCCGCTGCAGGGGACAGCTATCTGGGGGAAGCAGAAAAACCGATGAGCATAAATTTAGTGCGGTTTATACCATCCACCCGGTGTCCAGCCAGGGTGCCACCAAGGGTCTTACTCAACTCAGGGTCGGGGGGACATACCCCAGCGGCTTGAAGAAATGACCCTGGCTGAGCCCTGCTTCCGTTTCCAGAATTCCTCTTTCTTTTTCTGTGACCACACCCCGCCGTGCTCCTCTGTGTTCAGGGATCCCTCCTGGTGATTCTCGGGGGGATCATCTGTGGTCCCGGGGACTGACCCTGGGGTGCGTGAAGGCGCTCCCCGCTGTGCTTTGCGCCAGCCCCGGAGGGCAGGACTCAGAGGGGACGTGGAGCCCAAGCGCTGTGCCGGGCGGTGGCACTGCAGTAGTCTGGATGGAGGACGCCCCCTGACCCCCACAGCCCTGCCAGTGATGCCTGCAGAGAAAGTTTCCCAGGGGGCTGGCAGCCAGGGTTCAAGCCAAGACGTTAAATGGCTCTGTCGTCTCATTCGGAAAGAAACACTTGAGCACAGCCATAAATCTGACCCCGTCCCTGGGGCTTGTGGGATCCTGACTGCAGGGAGGCCGGGGGAGGGCAGGGGTGAGGGCTGCGGGCAGGCAGAGGTGCTCCCCTCTGGAACTCTTGAATGGAAGCAGTTGCGGTGTGCAGCCTCAACTCCCCGGGGGGCCGGGAGATCCTGTGGGCGCTAAAACGCAGGCTGCAGAGGTGAGGTGCCGAGTTTGATGCGTGGCACCCTGTGCCCCCCAGTGGCCGCCCCCCATGCGTACTTGCTATGGGCTTCCTCTCAACGCAGCTCCCTGGGGGGCTGCGCCGCTCCAATTGCGGCTTGTGGACAGACAGCCCGGCAGTGGGCCTTGGGTTACGGCTCATGGGCAAGAAGCCCCCCACCCCCGCATTGCTGCTTATCCTCCCCTCCCTACCCCTCCCCTCCCCTCCCCTCCTCTCACCTCTCCTTACCCTCTCCTCCCCTCCCCTCTCACTCCCCTCCCCCTCACTCCCCTCCCCCTCACTCCCCTCCCCTCTCCTTCCCCTCCCCTCCCCCCTCGCTTCCCTCCCTTTCCCTCCCCCCTCGCTCCCCTTTCGCTCCCCTCCCCTCCCCTCTCGCTCCCCTCCCTTCCCCTCCCCTCTTGTTCCCCTCCCCTCTCCTCCCCTCCCCTCCCCTCCCCTCTCCTCTCCTCCCCTCCCCTCCCCTCCCCTCTCACTCCTCTCCCCTCCCCTCCC